AGGATTAACACCGCTTACAAGGATAAGTAAGTTTACAGTAATGACCAAGGGCGTCAACACTTTCTGTAAACATTGAGTTTACCGCAATGTTGCGAGCCTGAAACTGGAGATGTATTTTTGAATAATCATATAATTCGGGTATTAGACATCCCGAACCAAACTATAGCTTAAAATATACGAATGATGTACTCAAATAGCGACAGTTACTTAGGTTCGTTAGCATCTTTTCGTTTGACACGGTCCCATTTAACTTAACGAATGGTTGAGCTGTTAAAAAAATCACTCTTAGCTTCAGCACTACATGCGCCATTTGCCACTGTAATTGTTGTAGAGTCGACCAACGCACGTAAGACTAATTCTCTTTTTAACTGTTGAGCACAAGATACAAGTCACATGATGGAATAACCCGTCGATTGGGGCTTAAAGCCCCAACGAACGTTTATTGGGAAGTTATTGTAAAACATAATCAAATGAAAGTATATTTTGGTTGTACGTGTGAAATGCACAACTGAAAATTTAAAGCTCGCTTATGGATAGGTGCGAAAAAGGAGAGGACAAGGCTAGCAGTGCGAGTATGTAGCCATCCTGTCACCAGTACGAGGTTACTCACCTTTATTCTAGATCGAGCTGTGTGTGGTCCATCCAACGAACATGTTTTCTCAATGGGTGTTGTGATGAGAACTACTCAAACGAGAGAGAAGAGAATCAGCGTGCTGGGGTACGCCCGAGCTGCTGAAACGCACTAAACAAGTAATTGTAGCTTTAAATCACAAGTTGGGGGTTGTAATGTTCTCGTTAGTATTCGAATAAAACATTAGTTCTTAAAACTAACGTGAAAAAAACCCACAATAATATTCCCTGCCTGTTCCTTCAAAACTTACGTGAAAAAACACACAAAATATTCCCAGCTCGTGGCTCCAAAACTAACGTGAAAACACTGGATATCCCGGTCCGCGGCTTAAAACTAACGTGGATGCCACACAATATCCCCAGCTTGTGGTTTAAAAACTAATGTGAAAACCACAACCTAAAATTTGCTTTAAGAGCGAATTACTATACTATTTGCAGCTACTACTACTAATTTCATTATCACATTACTACTACTATAAAACTTACGTTAGTTTTGAAGCCACGAGGCAGAAGACGCACCAGATGGCGCTCAATCGGCACGTCGTCAGCAAGATGAACGAGGACAAATGCCGCCCCACTATCCTATCCCGTTTCACACGTAGCGCAGCAATAGCAGCGCCTCGCCGCCCCATCCCGTCAGACTACCAGAACACCGCCGCTTCATCAGTAAGACCTCACCTCATAACCGGGAAAGTCTCTTGAGCAGCGGATTGGTACTGAGGTCGCTAAGGAGAGCCTTCAAGTGACCTCCAAGTGCTACGCATTAAAAATGCACGACCAAGTCGCACATCACGATATTAGAGCTGGTTCGCAGGCCGCACGATGCCGCTTCCCCGAGCTACGCATGGATGGTAAAGACACCATTATGTTTACAGCAGATACCAAGGCGTCTCGTGAAAGGCTGCAGATTGAAAACCTGTTGGAGCTTCCATGGAGTGGGTGGGCTTTTGTCTACGCCTACGTGCTCTTCATCTTCTCGTTCAGTCGATTCGCAACGCTTAAGGCATTGATCACGATGTACGGCAGTCCTGATGACTACGCATTCAAAGTCAAGGCTGCGGTGATAACCCTCGGATTCTTGGAAGATCTCGTGTGTGCGACCTTCTTTGTGTGTGTTTTGTGGCTGTTTGATACTTTCAAGAGCTCAATTATTCAACGGGTCGAGCAAAAGAATGGAGTGTCGACCACAAATATGGGGAATATCGCGACGTTTACGGGATCGTGGCTTCTTTTCTTCGTCATGATAGTGCCGTTTGCCTCCGATATGCTTCTTGTGCTCAACCGAGAGATGCGATTCACGTTTGACGTCCTTGCCGCTATGATCCGGGAGAGAGATCATCTTTCCAAAGCCCCGCTGGAACCTGAAGAGGCTCAGAGAAGTTACGTAACTGCGGTGCTTGTCGTGACTTGCACTACGCTCTTCGCACTGATTCGCATGCGAGCAAGTTGGACTGACTTAACTCGCTGGAACCCCACACATCTGCTGCTGAGACCTACACGACAACGTGTTGTCAAGCAGAACGACAAGGACGCAGTAAAAATTGTCGAGTACGAAGAACTTTCCCTTGAAGATGGTATTGAGACCACAAATTCCAGGGAAGAGGCTGCATATTCCTCAAAGCGCTTCATGTACCAAGTCCTACAACGCCGCTGTGGGGTTATTCTCGTTTTCCTGGGTCTTGTACTCTTACCAGCTCTAGTCTTAGCGGTAAGCAAAATCTGTTCGCCTTTAGTGGCGTACTCAGCGTTAAACACACCGCTGAACGAGCTACTTGGCAACGTATTTTCGCCCACACTGAAGGAAAGCACACTTCAAAATGCAGAAGAAGTGGAGACGTTTATTCATCCGACTGAGCAGCACAAGCTATTGGCTACCAACTCGCTGTATCGACGGACGACTGGCTTTTCCGGAGATCTGGCTTTCAATGTCAGTACTACACCTAATAACCCTCCTAATGTTCTGGTTATTGGAATTGAGTCTTTCCGGTATCAGGACTCTCGCTATCTCATCGGTGAAAGGGACCCCTCTAATCTTTACAATGGCTTGAACACCTCAGTTACTCCCAATTTCGACAGGTGGGCTAAGCGTGGCGTCGCGTTCCGCAATATGTGGTCAAGTCTACCTACAAGTAGATCAGTGGAGAGTCTCCTGTTCGCACAGGTTCCTTACGATAGTACAGTGAAAACCGGTACTTCTGGAGGCTGGACGGACACGAAGCTATATGGTTTACCGCAATTTTTCACTGCCAAGGGCTACGAAACGTTCTTCACTACTGGATGTGCGACTACATTTGATGGTTGGGACTCGTTCCTCCCCACTCATGGATACGAAACTGTGTGGAGCAACTTGAATATGATCGAGTTAGCAAAGAACGAGATGGGGATTACAAAGGACCAGTGGTTTGGTCCGGAGCATCGTGGATTCCAGTGGGGAGTTCACGACGACATTAGCTTCAAATTTCTAGGCGATTTACTCGTGAACAAGACAAAAGAGCAGAGCGAGAGAATGGCTAATGGTGAGAAGAAAAAGCCGCTGTTTCTTACGCACTATACCATCTCTAGCCATGCACCGTTCGACTCAGCGCCGACATGGTACACGGAGTTGCAGAAGCCTGATTTTTCACCACTGTATAAAGGAAAAAACCACGAAGCTGCTATCAAACGGTACTTGGAGCTGAGGCATTTCACGGACATGGAGCTAGGACGGTTCTTAGACCGCATGTCTGCCGAGGGTATTCTTAACGATACCATTGTCGTCATCATGGGTGATCATGGTCAAGCACCTGAGGCAGATTTGTGGAACATCCACGAGGACTCTGTAAGACGCGTGGCTTCGGCTATCGTCGCTGAGGGGCGACTGGGTAGGGCGGAAGGACTTATAGTTGATGACGCTGCCGAGCAGTACGACATCCTCAATACGTTAGCGGATATCACAGGTGTACCAGACGGAGGGTTCTTGCAACATGGAGTTGGACGTTCACTGAAGCGGAGAATCTCTTTTGGCGAACGGGTTGTATTTGCCAATGACCCTGGTTACAAAATGTCGATCGTACGCGGCCACCAACGTCTTCGTTACGACAGCGTGATGGACTCGATGTTTCTCCACGATACTGAGGCTGATCACTATATCGAAAAAGATTTGTTCCCAGAGCTTTCCCCTGAAGAGCAAGCAGAATGGGAGAGATGGCGCGATAACGGACGAAAGATCACAACTTACTACAAGAAGCGGTGGGACGACAAGTGCTTTGCGATCAATTGTTAGAGAATGCATGCAGACCAAGAAGTATTATTGAACGCCATGGTTTTGGTGACTTTCTGATTACGAAACTGTTCAAGTTGGTACTTTGATTCTCCTCCAATCACACTTGTTCGCAGTTCGTAACGAAGTGGAGAACTGTCGTTTGTCGCCGATTGGCATTCACAAACCGTATTTGTACCGCTTTTTCTTACAAAAGCCAAATCAGCAATACAAAACTAAGTCAAGTATACAAACACAAAGTGAACAGTTTTAGTATCTAGCTAATAAAAGGCACGAAAGCATTACACAGGGTTTACACTAATTCCAAAATACCGGTTTTCCAGTAGGTATGCGGTACAAGCAAATATCCAATACCGGTAGTCATTTGGCTAGGTAGTGTTGTAGCTGCGGCGCAGCCTGCACCGCAGTTATTACGTATAAATGTGGACCACGTTAGTGTTCTTGACTCTGGCAGTGCGCAATTTGCATAAGACTGCCGCCGTCCGACGTTGCCAGTTGTGATCGTCACGAGAAACACTACCAAACCAATGACCCAATGGACGCAACATTGAAGGCAACTTATGGACAAGAAGCAGCGTGCGGGCTTCTGGCGGTTGTATCGCGTCTTCATAGAGTGCCAGATACCGCAGCCTTTCACTACATGTTTTTTTCCCTGAAAAATTTGCTAAAGTGCCATACAACGCGCCATACAAGCTTTGACAGAGCCATCATCTAGTCTCCTCTTCCTCATGCTTATTGATGAATAAGGACTCACATTTCTGTGAGATAATGGACGCGCTGTAGCTTCATTAGAACTTACCGCACGCGTCTTTTCGACTAATTTTTCCTGAATATTGACCAAGCCGCCATACAACGCGTCATACAAGCTTCGGCAAAGCCAGTCAGCCTCCTCTTCCTTATACTAATTGATGAATAAGGTGTGGATGGGCACAGACATTTCTGTGAGATAATGGACGGCGCTAAAGCTTGCTTCATTGGATCCTGCAGGCTCATTCGTCGTTTTAAGCGTTAATTGTAACAGGCTGCTCGGTACTAGGTACGAGTTATCGCATTTTAAAATGCTTTTTCTCAGTTGCTGAGAACCGTTGTAACACAGTAGCGGAGGCAGCGCCACCAAGTCGACACTACACATTCCGAGGTACGTGCTGAAGTGTATGTAGGCGGCATACTGGCGTATTGATCATGTGTGGTTGATTTTGCTTCAGGTGCAGCGGCTGTTGCCTTACTGCGTTGGGTTTGTGTTCAGGAGATTAAGGAATACAGTGGGCACACTTTACCACTGACTTTTGTGGGAAACCTGACTTTCGGTGGTTATTTCTGCGAATTTGTTACTGGAGAATATGCTAACTGGACCGAAGAAGAGAAATAGCGGCGGTGCCACGTCGGACGAAAACGATTTGCTAGGATACTTGGATGTTGCATTTGAACGCGAACAGCATACTTCGTGGGACCTTTACCCACTGGACCACCAATTAGCAGCCAATAAGTAGGCTAATACGTTTTGCATTATGAATTAGAACCGTGGAGCTTTATTCAACGTCGGACTCTTTTTTAAAATTAATGTTTATTAGGCGTGTATTAGTCCTGTTTCGATAGCGACCACAGTTCGCAAATTC